GTTGGTTAGAGGAAGCAAGTGTATAAATTGAAATAAGTATATATCAGCGATGTCATTTTTCATCATCTAGAGGGTTTCGAGGATAGCCAAAAAACACTTTGACGACTCGTCCTTTAAAACCAAAAAACGGAAGGTTGAAGACTTAGTAAAATCGCAAAGTGCAGCTAAGTTGACCACCTCTGCTGAAGTTGCATGTCGTATGTCAAGGCGAAAAAACCAAGCTACTTTAATCAGAAAAAAATTTAGAATTGTTAGAAAAAAGAAAATTAAAAGGCTTTCATTTATGGTGAAAAGGCAGTTGAATTGTGAATAAGCTTATTACATTAACTCTAAATGTACAAGTCGTTCTTATAAACAGACGCGAAAGTGGTCTGTCAGGCAGGGAATATATCATTTCCATCTTATCATAATCTATGCAAAGTATCTTATCATAATCTATGCTATCCATTAGATGAACGTCTTTCTATTACAGAAACACGTGCCGAAATTAACCTACAAGCTATATTGGATAAAACTACTGAACGCCTTATTAAAGCCCAGTGTGAAGTTCTTAAAAATTATACTTTTACTTCGCCTATCACATTAATTACCAAATGGGGATGGGATAGGAGCTCTAGTCACAGTACTTATAAACATAGATTTACAAACTCTGATATAATTAATGAGTTAATGTTTGTATTTTCATTTGTTCCGTTGAAACTGAGTGACGGCTAAAACATTATTTGGTAAAATCCGCAACCTTTATCCACACTTTTTTGTAGACCAATTAAGTTTACTTTTCAAAAGAAACAAATAAATTTACTACAACTGAAACTAACCAAGTTACTAAAAAAATATCTCAACTTATTCCAACATCTTTAAGATTCGACAAATCTCAAGTTGCTGCTAAACTTGACCTAATACTCTCAATGATATATAAAAAATTTGCAATGCCTTGACTGAGACAAGTTCTCAATAAAAATGTTATATATTGTGGTGCAACTCCAAAAATGATGAACGGTAAACGAAAAGACATAACTTTAAATAAGAACATTATGGTTTTGGTCTATCTACTCTGCATGCGTGGATTCGCTTTTTTGAGTGCATGTTACACAGTAGCTATCCCTTAGATATAAAAAAGTGGCAAACTAGAAGCGATGGAGATAAATCTAGTGTCCAAAAACGTTCAGAAGATACCAATAAAAAAAAATTAAAAACTTTATGGGTCTTATTGTTGACAAAGCAAAACCTAGCTTCGGGAATACAAATGATAAGAACACAGCTCGCAGGTTTTTTATGAAGCCAGAGTTAAGTGGTGTGATTACGGGTTTAGACGTCAATCTCATTAAAAATTTTAGTATTTTATTACAAACTTTTTCCTCAGGCTATGATATTAATTGAATTTGAAAAAATTTGTACTGAAACCAAAACTCTTTATGTTAATCTACACCCGTGGTACTTTATGCCTGATTTGTGCACAAAATACTTGTATATAGCACGGAAGTTATAAAAACATGTCTCCTTTCAATTGAACAGCTATCGGAAGAGTCTCAAGAAACCCCCTTTAAAGATTTTCGTCGATTCCGCGATCATTATACAAGAAAAAACTCACGTATTTCCGCAAATATAGATTTCCTCAATATGCTTTTGGTAACATCAAATCTTGTCATCAACTCATTACAGAGAATTGTCAAGTAAGAAAACGAGTAAATTACCGCTAATAGTTTCAAATTTAAATGTTCCACCAATAATACCACTACAACTGGTTGGAAATACAGTTCTGTGTGGCGATGAATATTATTTAGGAGCCGATTTTTCGGATAGTAAAAATAACAATGATTCATCCGATGATAGTTGTTAAGAAAATATATTTTTTTTTAAATACGTTATCAGCTGAGTTATAGTACATTTTTTTACTTTTATTTTTGGCAAAATTTTATAACATAATTTATGTGTTGAAAGTAAGTATTTATCTTTATTACTTAATTAACTTTTTACAATACTAATATTAAAAAAAACTTAAAACCATAAAAAATACATATAAAACTTAAAGATAATCAAAATATTCGTAACTAACCAAAATACTATTATTTGCATTCTTTAGAATTAAATTGCAGAACAAAATATTTGTCCACCTAGCCTATGTAAAGTAATTCTCTGTGTGTCGGCTCAAACTCGAAGTAAGGATATTTAAAAAAAAAAAATTTTAACGTGAGAAAAAAACGTAAACTTTTGGCGCCACAGATGATAAAAAAAAAAGAATAAAAAATTTTTTACAAACAGTTACCCAAAATATTTTATAAACAAAAACCTATAGAATATTTTGGGACATGTTTTACAAAAAAAGATAATTATTTGCCATAAAAATAAGAATGTAAAAAAAAGAAGAATAAGTTATAATAACAAAAAACAAAGTTTTTAGTTATTATAATTTTGTTTCAATACAATTAATGAAAAATACATATATAATATAAATTTAATATAAAATATGCGATATATAAAAGTAACGCAAGGTAAAAATAAAGATAAAATTAAAGATAAAAAGGTACAAATTTATTTTATGAGTTTTACGCTTGATCATTAAGCAACGCCAAAGTAATTTGTTTACGAGCTTTACGTTTCATCTCTTTGCAACGCTAAGGTGATTCACTTGCTATGGTTTTGTTTAATTACTTGGCAACGTTAAATCATACGACTTGAGTCATGTTCTAAAAAAAAAAATTATTCTTTTATATATATACCCTATGCGCGCATCATCTCTCATGTAACTTTTCATTATATGAAAAGTTACATGAGAGATATTAGAAGTTTTAAAAAAAGATTTAAAGAAGAAGATAAAGAAGAGCAAGGTAAAAAAGAGGAAGGTAAAGAAGAAGAGAGTATAGAAGAGGAGGGTAAAGAAGAGGAGGGTAAAGAAGAGGAGGGTAAAGAAGAGGAGGGTAAAGAAGAGGAGGGTAAAGAAGAGGAGGGTAAAGAAGAGGAGGGTAAAGAAGAGGAGGGTAAAGAAGAGGAGGGTAAAGAAGAGGAGGGTAAAGAAGAGGAGGGTAAAGAAGAGGAGGGTAAAGAAGAGGAGGGTAAAGAAGAGGAGGGTAAAGAAGAGGAGGTTAAAGAAGAGGAGGGTAAAGAAGAGGAGGGTAAAGAAGAGGAGGGTAAAGAAGAGGAGGGTAAAGAAGAGGAGGGTAAAGAAGAGGAGGGTAAAGAAGAGGAGGGTAAAGTAGACGACAAAGCAGAAGAAAGTAAAGAAGACAAAAAAGAATATAATGAAAACGTTGATACAGCAGAAAATGCGGTTTCTCAATCAGTAAAGACTCAAGGTTTTCTCCATAAATAAGCAGTTTAAAATGATTTAAGGTCTAAACCGTTGAATGAGCTTTTGGCACATTTAAACTCTTTCATGAAAGACATTCCTAAAAGTGGAACATCTTTAAAACACACTTTAAGAAGTGTGGATGTTGAAAAAGTTGCTAGAGGTGATTTTGTTATATTACTTTAAAAAGTGCACTTAGCAAAAATGTAAAATGCTTCAGAAAGCCAACAGAGTATAATCTTATTGTAAATGTTGATGGCATTCCAATATACAATAGTAAAAAAAAACAAATGCGGCCTATATTGTGTACTGTAAACCAACAAGGTTCATATACAATTGCTTTATGGTATGGCGAAGGAAAACCTTCAATTCTTAGAGAATATCGTGAAACATTTGTGGCGGAAATAAAATTCTTTTTTATAAGTGGGTATGTGGGCTTAAAGGTGATGGTTAAGGCATTTGTATGTGATGCACCAGCCAGAGCATTTTTAAAATGTATGAAAGGACATAATGGATATGACAGCTGTGAATGATACCAAGAGCATGGCAAATATAATAGAGGCATAAAATAATTAGGCACTAAATTTTTATTACAAGATGATAACAAGATGAAATAAATTAAAACGTTATAAAAAGTTATTAAAAATCTGAACAAAAACTATGAAAAATTATATAATACATATTAGTCAAATACATGTTATATCTGTTATTATTATATTTATTTTTTAGTTTCGTTTTTAATTTTTATAGTTTCAGTATAAAAAATCAAAATGATATTTTCATTGATATACTGTTACCAGTGGCGGATACAAACCTCCATTACTCCCTCTAAGAACTTTCAAATTTTAATATATTATTGATAAAAATGAAAAAATATATATAAAAGTATAAAAATTTATGCTTCAAAAATAGATTTTTTTGCAAAAAAAAGTTGCTTAAATAATTTTTTTTAAATTATCTCATAAACTTTGGTAATGATCAAATATGATAGTGGTTTTAGCTAAAAAAATGAGAACTTTTTTTTTTTAATTTTTTGGTGGGACTACCCTTCCCCTTTATCCCCCTGCCTAAGACAATAAGATCGACCACTGGCTAATACACTTTTTTAGTTTAATTTTTTTTATAATATGAATTTAAGTTTATAATTGTTATGTTTACTATATAGTTATAATATTTTTTATCAGTAAACTGTTATCAGTTTACTGTTGTTTGTACTGTTTGTGTGTATATATATATATATATATATATATATATATATATATATATATATATATATATATATATATATATATATATATATATATATAATTTGTATAAATAAATATGATATTGGTTCATTTTAATCATTATTTTTAAGTTGTTATTACTGCATTAACAAATAATCATTTATACATTATGTTTACTTTTGTTATGATTCTTTTCCAAGTTTTTACAAAAATGTTTATTAAAGTAAAATGGCTTGAACCTCCACATTTAATTATATATGGTACAATCCCATCAAATTGGGTATAGAAAAGCAATGACAGTTTATGGGTCTAATGGCCTAAAGTTGTGAATGTAATGCCATTAATTTTAAGCAGGCAGATTCCAAAAAAAGACTGGGCTAGGTTCATTTTGTTAAAAAAATATGGAAGTGGAAGTATGTTTATTTAATACAATATTTATAAATGCAATAGGTATTTATATTTTATTTTATTACAATTTCTTTAATTTTAATCAGTATTTCTGAATGTGAAATGGTTCCCTCAGGTAATGATACAAATGAAGATACAGAAGATGAAAATTTGTTGAAGCGAAATAACCGCTTTACATTACCATATTTCATGAGCGATGATGATTTTGGTTAGAAATATTTAAATTATATCTGTAAAATGTGTTTTTCTATAATTAAACAAATTAGTTTTATCTATTGTTTATTTTAGATAACGAGGTTGCTCCTAATCAATCCAAAAAAAAAAATTGGCTTGCAGCAGTGATGAGGAGGCAGAGACCACAATAGACAATTTCCCATTACTTCCGTCGCCACTAAAAAAATGTTCTTAATTTTATATAATTTATTTATGTATTTGTTTGTTATTATGTTTTCACTACTTTTACATGCATTTTTTGCGTGTGTCATTTGATTTGTAACCTAAACTTTCTGCAATAATATTAACAAATGATAGAAAGTATAGCAAATAACACACTTAGAAACACTAAACACAAGTTTAGAATGATCTGTGTGTATTGTTTCTTATGCTAAGCATTTATAACAAATAATATCTATTTATAAAAAAGTATATCAGGTATGTATTCTTAAGGTGTAGAATGTTTTCATTTTTTCTAATATTAATTTGAGTTTCATTTACACTTAAAGTGCCTTCTAATCGGACTTTGATGACAGCGAAAAAGCATAAAGTTGATTTGGAGATTGAACCAGAATGTCAGCCTCAAGTATTGTCATTTAAATCCAGTTCCCAGCAGCATTTCACAAGCTATGGTACAGATTTATTCTTTATATATATTTGATATTACTTTTTCATGTATCCTTATGTAAATGAATGAATTAAGTTTGTTATTACAGATTGCAGTAGTAAACCTGTGATTAGTTATGACGCTGATAATACATCTGCTTCATCACAAAAAGGTATGTTTGTTATCTATAATGTTTTCTTTAAACTTTTATTGTTAAGATATTTAGAAAACAACTATTAATTTTTTTTATTCAAGCACATTAAAGATTTACACATACAAGTTTTCATTAATATGTTAAGTCTCACTCAAATAGTTACAAATTAGTTAATAGAGTGACACCTAAAAATACAAAATAAATAAATAAAAATAACAATTAAAGAAACTCAAGTAAATATAGAAGTTATAAAAATAAATTAAAGTTGAAAACAAACAGAAAGCTTATATAATATTATTTTATTGACACTAGTTTTTATTCGCCTATATTTAATAAAATACAACTTATTATTTATTATTTACTCACAAGTAAGTAAATATTATTTTGTATATACTTGATAAATATTAACCTTTAAACAACTTTTGTTACTTATAAGTTTTGTATTTATAGTTTTCCAGAAAAATGTCATGAAAATTCTAAAAAATATAACAAAAGAACTAATGGAGATGAAGTAAAATCAAAAGTTCTGATGGAAAAGTTCTCAGAAGTACAATATACAGGAGAAAATATTGTTAATAAGTTAGTCTTTGTTACTATTGATAATGTTAAAGATTTAGTAAAGTTGGAAACTGAATTAGAAAACAAAAGTTTATATTTGCAGCTGGTTTATATTTAACATTGTTGTTTTGTTGTTTCATTGAACATTTTGATATTTTTTTAACAATAATAAAAAGTACAGTAAACTCCCAATATTTTAAACCTTAGAGAACTTCCAGTAAATCAAGCTAATTTTAAATCCCCGTTTAACCCTTATATATGAATTGTACTCCCAATAACTTTTTTATTGGGAGTATAATTGTATTTGAAAGTAAAGTTATCAAGAGTTTACTGTGTTTGAAAATTTTAGTAATAGCGTATATTAGATTTAAAAAATATGTTTGAGCAGTTGTTGGCTCAGTTTAATCAGTTTATAACACTGTATCAGTCAGTACGAAAGCTTGTTTAAGTAAAGTTGTTTTCACACACGCACATACAATAATGTTAACTAATGTATACTATTTATCTGTTGTACTGGTAATTATGTACATTTACAGGGTTGCTAATCAACCTGGAAAACCAGGAATACCTGAAAATTGCATGAATCCCAGAGAAAATCTAGAAAACTCAGGGATTTTTTAAAATCTTTTTTAAATTTTTTTTAAATCTATAAAATTCAGAGAAAATATTTTTGTTTTTGTTTAAACTTTTGAACAATAATATTTTTTGTAATCATAGCTTGTCAATACTAACAATAAATATACTAATATTCTAACAATGAGTTTGCAAGACGCAACTGTTGTTGTAAAACTTTTAGTTTATCAAATATAAACAATAAACAAGTCAGGGAATTTAAAAAGTTTAACTCAAGGAAAAACGCTATTTACTTAAGGAAAAAATTTTGAAATTATAGTGGCAACTCTAAATTAAGAATCACTTACGTTGTTACTTTTTTATAAAACATGCTTTGTAACTACTTTGTTGGCAATAGTATTTAACCAAAATTGACTTTTTATTTTTAAGATACTTTGCTTGCTATTCTAGTATTTTAGATAATTTGGTGGACAGAGATACCTGCCTTCATATTGGACAGAGATACTTGCTAGATACTATATACCTATGACTATTCTAATATTAATTATTGTGAATAATTATTATTACAGGTGGCAGTTTTAGTTCGTGCTTGTTGCAACCACCCAAAAAAAAAGTATATACGAGGTGATATACAAACTTATCACAAAAGATGTTGCATCAAACTATAATATTAAAGGCAATATAAGAAATTAATATAAAGAAATATTTTTTCATAGTATATTTTAAGAAATTTTTTAACTTGTGTTATATGAAAAAGTATTTCAATTTTAATTTTTAAAGTACAGTTTTTTTCATTTAGAGGCAGTTAGGAGTCACCATGCAGGTGCTAAAGATATACAACTCCACAGTTTTATGGGAGAATGGCTTCGACAAGCTGGCGTGTTGAATATACGCGCAGAGAAAAAAAAATTGAAAATAAAACATCATAATAATCTTTTTTTCTTTTACTAATGAGATAAAAAACTATTTTTTTAATTCTTTTATGACTGTAATTTAGTGTTATTTTAAATATCTTTTTGGTATTTATTTTATTTCAATTTAAAAACTTATTTGTATATTCTAATTGTTTTTATTAAGTATATTATGCAAATCTTTAAAGAAATAGTAATCATTTTTAAGGACATGTTAACTCCGTAGCCATCGTAAACGTAAACTCACTTCGTAAAAGTAAATGTCTAAATTTGCAGACTTTTTGTTGATTTTTGTTTAGTGTTAATTATTGAGTTAACTTGTTTCATTTTGTTTATTTTGAGGTTATTATATGGTTGATTAAGAAATCTTGTAGAAATATGGAAAAATAAGTCTTTCTATTTAATATAGAACAATCCCATGTGATTAGTTATTTGAGAAAAATTATATGTTGTTGCTTTGAGTACAAGTTGTTAATGTAAAGTCTTTGATTTTAAGCAGACAAGTACAAATTTGTTTAAGATTTTTTAATAGCTGTAATAACTATAGTTATATACCAACAATAAAAATATACATGTTTTACATTTTAGAAAGCGTTTCTGAAGGTGAACTTGTTGAACCTGAGCTTTATCAGTCAGTGAACTTCTGAATGTGATCACAATTATTGATTGTCAGTGATTGAGGCAAATAAAGATACTTTAGATGACTAAAGTTGATAGAAATGAAAAAGCTGAATAAATATGCCATTTTAATTATTATTAATTAACCATTACCATATTTCAGAAGTGATATTTATAAACCTGGTTAAGTGATACTGATAAACCTGGTAAGTTTCTACATTTATTTGCAGTTATACTAAATTCTTTTTTAAATGATCAAATTTTTTTTCATAGGTTTTTATACATTTTCCTTTACTTCTGCCATCAATCACGGCTGTTTCACTTAATATAAAAGCGAGCTTGACGTCACAAGAATTTTTGTATTTAAAAAAAAAAAAGAGTTTCCGCATAAAAAGTATAAAAATTCACTAACTTTAAATTAATAGTAATTTTTTTCTATAAACGTTTTAATCTTCGAATTAAAAAGATATAAAAGAACTATCTTTATTCGTTCAATAAATATTTACATGAAACGAAATAAAAATAAACACTGTTAAAATATTTTAAATGATTTTTTTTCTGTTTTTTGCGTATTTTACGGAAAACCAGTCTTGGGCCAATTAAGATTTGATATTTTAAGCAACATGCTTGATGATTGAAATTTTACATAGGGGAGAGTGGGGAGAAGTGGGACACAATTTTTTTTTCAGGGTAATTGCAATATCTTTTTTAATTGATGTATGAACTGAACCAAACTGGTCGTAAAAAATAAAGCAGTATTTGGGGCACCGAATCCACCCTCTAAGGTTGACAGAATGTTTTAATAAAGTATATATTTTTTAGGTTTAGAGGAACCCTGCTATTGGGGTAAAGTGGGACAAGTGTGGGAGAAATCAGACAAGGGTGCGGGAGAAGCGGGACATTTGGAGGAGATGTGGAACTATATAAAAACGACTTCAAATCTAATTAAATGTTAATTTGAGCAAATTTTGATTTTAAAATTAAGTTTAGTTTAAATTAAACGCGGCAGTGGTGTAGTGGTAGAGCGCTTGGATTATAAGCAAGAAGTTTGGAGTTAGAATCCCACCACGTCCCATAAGGTACCACGCTCAACTTTCTCCGCACAGCATGCTTTGTTCGCAAAGGTTTGTGTTTCCGAGTTAAAGGGTTTAAGAGAGGATTGTAACCACAATAAGAAAAATATTTAAAAATGCAAAAAAAATGCGCAGCCTCCTCGCCTGAGGTGGCCCCTTTGGAGAGGTAAATAATAGGAAAAAAAATCAAACTATCAGTGCCTTTTTCCATCTAATTAAGATTAGATTTATAGAATTAAAATTTCTTTGTTAAAAAAAGAAAAAAGATATTTTACATTTAAGATGCAAAAGTTCACTTGGAAAACGATTTCAGCTTTTGTTCTTGGTGTTGTTCCAGCAAGCGGTTGAGGCAGGACTATTTTATATCATTAATATTCACACTACGAATGTCATTAATTCTAGGTTTGACAAACTTAGAAGTTTTTTTATTCTGGCATTTCAGGAAGCTGACCTCTACATTAAAATTTGTGTCTATTTCTTTCTGCACTATGCCTAAATAATAAGAAATGGTGCTTTTACTACAAATCTCGCAAAAAACATAATCACTGAAACTCACATTTTGAATAGTGCTTAAAGAAACAGTTTCCGATTCTTCTTCAAATTCTAGCAAGTAACAATTAGCTGAAACATCATTTGTTATTTTGTTGAAATCTACATCAAAGTCACTGTTCGATTTGCATAACATGTTTTTCCTCACATTTTTGGATTTTAGAAAGACAATTTTTTAACCTTTTTTTTTATTTAATACTTCATCTTTTATTCTTAAAATCTCTGGTGTTGATGTGGCTATCATACACTTTCACTTTTTACGTCCACGTCTTAAAATCTTACGAGATGGTGCCTGCAAAATATATATTGTAGTATTACATAACTGTAGAATTTAAAGAAAACCTAAACTAAGAATATTTAGTTTAAATTACCTTTGGATAACCTCGTACAATCTCAGGAGAAAACACAGTAAAGTTTTCTTTTACTGAGCTATGTTGCGCATCTAAACCTGAGATATCTGAAGGAGTAGCAGTTGTAATCGATTTCTCACATGAGTCTTCACTGTATGATTCTTGAGGCACATCTCTATCTGTTAAACTGATGGTAAAAAAATATTATCCCCTTATACATGTCTATCATAAGGCCTAGTTCCGGTCACGCGAAATCCTGACATAATATTTGTTGGTGTGGAAAATTTTTCCCATGCTTGTCGAATGAGACTGGCCATCTCATAAATTGTAATGGCTTTTCCTTGATTGCTAAGCGTCCAGCTATTGGCAGCTGCATTAAAATATGTTTTCATTGGGCCAAAAACAGACCTATCTGAAGGTTGTGTCTTATGTGAAGTATGTGGTGGCAAAGTCATCATACAAACATGGTTCTCTTTTGCATATTCAAGTGACTGTAGTGAAAGGTGGCTTTCATGATTATCCATAATCAATAAAACTTTGTGATCGGCTGTTGGACAAGCAAACTTAACAAAATGCCTTAAAACATCAATAAATATTTCAGCATTCATCCATCCAGATTGATTGGCCAATCCAATAGAACCTTCTGGTGCTCCTCTCATTAGTGGGTTTCTAAATGATTTTCTTGGAAAAACAATAACAGGGGGTATTGCTACACTAGCTGCAGAGACAATGCAACACACTGTTACTAATTCACCTCTTTCTCTAGATGTTATTTGCCCGACTTGCTTTGTTTCCTTTGATGCAATGACACGAGAAGTTTTTTTGTCCAGTAGTAAAACCTGTCTCATCAAGATTAAAAATTTTAAACGATGTTGCTTTAGACTCTGA